TCTAAGCTTGGAACAAAGAACAGAACACTGCCAATTTAACACCCTGTACAGGAGAAATGGTATCTCTGAACATCAGAGTGTGTCGTTAGTCTAACAAACTAGAGTTGCTTAGAAATACTTACCATGTATCACCTGAGAGATTACTGGAAGTTGGTTGTCTACAAAGATCTGCAAAGCTGAAGTAGAACTGAAACTCCGTGTTGATGCAAGATGAGGAAGAAGAGGTAGGAGAACATCAGTCACCCTTTCAACAGCTTCCAGCTCAGAGTCAGGACACTGAAGAATGTTCCACTGCGCACCTCAGCACTTCAAGGGAAAGACACACATCTAGGCGGTTGAATGCCCTATTTTGGAAAAATTAAGTGTGCACTCATAGACTAGCTCTATTACATTAGTAGGTGAAGCGAGGAAATAATTATACCCATGGATAAAAATATCTTTAAACTCTCAACAGGTAGGTTTCTGCTTGCAGTACATGCTGACTAACACAGACCAACAATTGACCAAAGCACAGAGAATAAGAGACTGCAGAATGCTCAGCTCTAAAGAGAACACATATACCACACAACCCCTTCCCAGTGCTCATTGTGGACAAGGGAGCAGAAAGAGTATAAGAGGTTTTGGATGACAAGGAAAACTCTTCTAGACACAGCAGATGGAGTATCTGCACATCTGAACTGGCAGTGGTCTGACAATATGCACAAAACCTTGGTCAGCACAAATAAGATCAAATCCTGGTATGGAGAGGTGAGCTGAGAACACAATCCTCCCCCTATCCATGAAGTTATTGACAACTGGTAGCTACTGGGAAAGTCCATTTTCTCTAAGGGTGTAGTTACTAGTAAGTTGACTACTTACTGAAGTACTTTGGATAGCACAAATTGGCCTGGAACGTTAAAATAAAAGGCGTAAAGTTGTATGGGAAGGAAAAGGGAAGGATCTGTCAAGAGTCGGGAGGATGAATATGAAAAGGGTGGCAGATACAGAGAAGTAAGCCAGATACACATCAGGTGTGCAGTTCCCTGTCAGGGACTAAAGGGGGATAGTTGCTGCTTCCCAAAGCAGTTTGTTTTCTATTCACTGGGTGATATTGGGGATTACATATTCAAGAGTAGGGTTATCATAAGAATATCTCTTTCATTCATGTGCATAAATACATGTGCACACACACACAGATAGAAAGAGAGCCAAAAAACATATGTGAAAATAAACCCAGAAATGCCAGAAACATGACTCCTAAACAACAGAACTAAAGCATATTGAAGATGGGCAGCAATGGCAGATAAAGATCTCAAAAGTTTTTGGATAAAAGTGATTATTCTGAAAGAAAACAGACAGGTGAATTCAATACAGACATGGAGAGGAATGTCAGAAACAGAGGAAATGGTCAGCAAGTGAAAAAAAAATCACAGAAACTGAGATTTTTGAATAAATAACTGTAAAACTTAAAATGAAAAACCCAATGAATCAAAGGCAAATACTGTGGAAAGCACAGCCTATAGACTTGAGTAAGGAAAAGAAAGAGAACAATATTGAAGAATCACTGCATTCAAATGTAAATAAGGAAAATAAAATTAAGTAAGCATGGACAGTATCCAAACACTCAGGGATACAATCAAGAGATGAACCCCGAGAAGCTACGAGACACAGGAGCTGAGATAAATGCTAAAGTTACAGTGATTCATTCAATAAAGAATGTATCAAATCTAGAGAAAGAAAAAGATTCCAGCAAAAGAGGTTTTCAGAACCTAAATAGACATAACCAGAGAAGAATTTCTCTGTGACAAATTATATTCAAAATGTCCAAAGTACAAAGCAAAAAGACAGAAAAAAACTGTAAGATAAATGCCAACTCACCTACAAAGGCAGAAATATCATAATAACACCAGATTTCCCATCAGCCATTCTCAATACCAGGAAAGTATGGAGTGCTATTTCAAGCCCTGAAAGTAAATAACTGTCACACAAGATTGACTTATAAAGCAAAGCTATCTTTCAGAGCTGACAGAGAAATAAGAGCATTTGGTGACAAGAATGAACTAAGTCAGTTCATGAGAAACACTAGTCAGCACCACAGAAGGTTCTGAAAGGAATATTATATATAGAAGAAAAGGAAAGCTCCTAAGTGTTTAAAATTTGAGACATCCATCTGCAGAGACGGTTAATGTAGAGTGCATAACCACCCCCAAGTCTTCAATGATCATTTAGAAAGAGATCTAGAAGATAACAATAAGGGTCAATTTGTGAAATAATGGCATAAAGTTTGCATAAATATAAATTTATAATTTATTCAAAGTGATTGGACAGTTAATCACTGCATTATTCTGTGAGATCAGCAATTAAAAACAACCCACCTAAAGGGGAGAGCAACCCCAAGGGAGAGTTTTATCTCACTTTTTTTTTCATCCATCAAATATTTCCTGTTTTCTTACTAAGTGTTAGGTCTGTGCATTCAGCTCCTAGTACACAACAGTTGCTCAATAAATATTTATTGGATAAATATTTAGGTAGACAATTTTTGGTGTTGAATGCTTCACTGTGTGACTAAGAGGGAAGAATATGTAGAAATGACAGTTAAGAGAAAGAGTGTTCTGATGGGGCTGGTACAGAATACTGTGAAGGTATAAGGAGGAGTGTCTAGTCAAGCCAAGGGCTGGAGAACACTCTGCAGGAGGCACCATCTAAGAGAGTGAGAGCAAGGGAATGATGTGTGTACCTTGAGCACATAAAGGTAGAGGGAGCAGAACTTACAAGGTACCAAAGAAGAGAGATTACAGCTCACGGATTTAATATGAAAACCCTAAACCCAGAGGGTGCACGACTGATTTTTATTTCACCTCAGACAAAGTCTGATCTCTCTAGAATAAACTTTAACCATCTATAAAATGGATTTTAGTATTTACCTTAAGAGGTAAATATGCCAAATAACTGGCATAGTAACATCTCAAAAATGTTGGCTGTGATCATTATTATCTTTATTAATGAGAATAGTGTCCTGTTTGGGGGATAAGGTGAGGTTCCGAATTAGTCGAGAGCTGCATGACCCATAGTAGTCTTAAGAGGCAAAATCCATGGAATCTGTTTTAAAGAAGAGAAACATAGTTGCAGGAAGTGCCTCGATGTGTGGGGGCTCTCCAAAATCAAACATGGGATTTAACTGAATTGGGTATGCTATGGTGTACTTCCCATCTTTGTGAGTTGTGAATTGAATGAGCCTGTAATAGCTTTGTTAAAAACCATACAAAATTATTCTGAAATGAATCACGTTGCTTCTCTTCTGCCACTACAAGACATCGCAGTCTTTGCTTATCAGGAACTTTGCACACAGCAGCCTTTCCCAGCACACATGGGCATTTTCTCAGCTGCCTCTAAACATCCTCCAGCAGCAGTGAGGACCTCATCTGCCCTGCATGAAGGGGACACGGGAATTCCATGAGGGTTTGTGCTTCTGTTTTTGCTACTCCCTCGTAAACTCCATCACCTTAAACATCTCTTGGCCGATGCATACTTAGAAACAGGTTGTCATGGCTTCAAATCTCACCTTCTTTTTCTTTCATAACTCACAGAACTTAGTGCTTTAGGTCATGTCTGTGCCCTCTGTTTATGATGCATTGTCTTGTATCAGAATGCCTCAGGAAAGTTACCTGCTTCTTCCTGCAAGGTGCAAAGGGACTCTTAGCACTTATTTCCATTAACTGTACTTTACAAGCTTCGAGGAGACTATACAGTTCTATGAAGGTAAACAACCATTTATTTTTACATTTAGCATGTATCTATAGTCTACACAAGAACAAAAGCTCTTGTTTGATGGCTCAAATGTTGGAGACAGCTTTCCAAGGTTTAGAAAGCACCAACACACTACATTTTCTTTTACACAGCAAGAGGTTAAATGGCCTTTCATTGAATACACATCTTTAAAAATACTGCACATATTTTCTCCCATAGGTGATGCTCAATGCTTTTTTTTTTGTATTTTGTATTATAGAATCCAGCATTTACCCCCACCATGTTCCACATACAATGAGCCCTCCTCCCCATTTTGTTTTTGTTACACATATTAGAATTTACTGTGATGATTCTACCTGGGTTTTCTCCATTTCTGCACATCTTACAAACAAAGCCTTGACTGCCTTTGTTCCAAACGATTATTTCAAAAATGTTTGTATCGTAAACAGCCTTGGAAGATAAAGAAGCATCTCCCTCCGGAGTACATGGCCAGCAGGCTCACAGCACATTATAGCTGACTTCAGTTCCAAAAGCCCTAACTTTCACTTTTCCAATACAATTTGCCACAACACAAATACACTGCCTGCATTTAAATACAATACTGGAGCTTTACATTTTCCACAGAGACTCACGAGCAGAAGAAATGCTGTGTAGATAATTCCTTTTCCCCTTCCTGGTAGATAGTTACAGATGGGGGAAGAAGCTGGAATGGGAGGATCAAATGGGGAGAGGGCGGTAAGTGGGAGGGTAAGAAAGAAAATATGGGGAGGGACGGCTAAAATTAAGGGTCATTTGCGGGTTATATGGAAACTTCATACAATAGAAACTTTTTAAAAAATACATGCACATATTAAAGAAATCTTAAGGGATCCACCAAATAACAGGAAAGGCAAAGCTTCAACTAAACATTTCTAGCCACAAACAAAACCTCCAGTAGTGAAAATAGTTACATCTAATCAAGTTGTTCACCAAAGGAGGCCATGAAAAGCTCCAAACAGCCCAGGTGGTTTCCAAGACTCTTAGATGTTCTCATAATCTGTCTTCAGACCCATTGCTTAAGATAACACCTATATAAGAAAATACCTACATAACTCAATAAACACAGAGAAGTCGAGCTTCATCTCTACTGACTACTGTTCATTGTACTGGAAGGTACTCTGCATGCTACAAAAAAAAAAAAAAAGAAAGAAAGAAAGAAAGAAAAAAGAAAAAAAAGAAAAGAAAAGTAAACATCAACCCAGTTACAATACCCTTTGGTCGACAATGATGACTTACCTGCAAGATGTACTGGGACAATAGTGGCAGAAGACTAGATAGGTTGTGGACCTAGGTGAAAGTAAAATGTCACTGTTATATTCAAGGAATGTAGCTTTAAAACAACTCCTAATGGCATTCTGCTATATTCAGATGGGAGTATTGCTCGGCCATCAGCAGAAACGCTTCCTCCTGCAGTAGATGGAAACAAATAGAGAGAGCCATGGCTGGACAGTGTGCAGAGAGGAAGAGACTTTGAAACACTGATCTTAAACAGGATGTCCCCATCAAGTCCCTTCCCTTGGGTCTCAGAGAACTCTGATGACGAAAAGACAGGAAAGACTGTAAGAGCCAGTGGGGATGGAAGAGGATCAAGCCCTCGATGCAATAGGACCCCAACCCTAACCCAGAAGCTATCTTCAATTGATGAAACCACTTGCAAAGGAAAAATTGGTTGTTTCAAATAGAGTATCGCTGGTGATATAAATCACACTTAAGGGCAGGCCTCATGCCCAGCAGTAGACTGCCAACTCAAACCAAATTCAATAGTAGGTTTATGAGACTTTTTGTCTCATAATGCTTTGTCTTGGAATTTTCCCTATATCACAGGTATTTTACTTAAATATTATAATTGCCAAATTTGTTTCTATGGGTTTTCTGTATATGTAAATATATGTGCATGTCTCTGCATCTATATATTTTCTTGTGTTTTTTTCTTGGGCTATTTTTATATTTGTTTTGTTTTGTTTTGTTTTTCCTATTTTGGCTTGTTTGTATTTTATCTTTTTTTAAAGATGTCTGTTTATTTTTCAAGGAGCAAGAGAGAGAGAGAGATAAATGGTATAGATGTGGGTGTGAGGGGAGCTGGGGGAGGGGAAATTGTAAGCAGATTATAACGTATTAAAAATTTATTTTCAATAAAAAAGTAAAGTGCCACATTCAAGGCCAAAGGACTCCCCAAGCCCACCTGAGGCCACCAGTCCTCTTTTCCATCAATTCCCAGAATCCTAGCAAGAAAGTTTGCAGCCACCAGAAAGTCCTTAGAGAGATGTTCTCTGGGGAAATGAAGAATCTCTCAGTGCAAACCTGCTTTTTCACTGGCTGTCCTGTACATACAGGCATAGTCCCTCAACTTTTGACAGGCTTCTTCCTTAGAAATTAGTGGACAGTCAAGGTCATTTTAATGAAGGTAGGCTATACTGAAGCACTGAAAGCCATGAGAAAACTGAAAAGTGGAAGATAATGCATTATATAGACAGAAGAGGTTTGTGTCCAACAACTGCACGCTTCAGAACAAGCAACTAGAGGAAACAGAAGAAATCCATGCATTTCCAGACTAAGTAATTAGCATTCTTAGCAAAAATAAGAAAAGAACACGCATTCAAAGGCATTATCATATGATACTAAAAAAAAACAACTCTAGAGATGAGAGTGAAAACGAGAAATTAGTCATAGTTAGGAGACCGAGATTGCAAATTAAATTAGACTTATAAGCAATTACACCAGAAGGTAGAAAAAGAGTCCATCTTAATCAGGAGAAATCATGTCTAAGCTAAATATATACATTCAGAACCTAAGTAGCTACGGCAAAGACACATTTGCAGTGACGTAACATTCCACATTATATTTTCTTGGGAATAAAGGAGTATCCTATCAAAGCAAGGGACCCAGGAAATAGAGAAACTAATGGAGAGAAAATGGAATTACAGAATATTAATGAAGAAAAACTAAGATTATAGTGTTGCAGCAGTAACAGACAGGAACCCAATTCAGCTTTAAAAAAAAAGGAGAATGGAAAAACTCCTTAAGACAAAAGAAAATTAAATAAATAGGAGTATAAATAAATAAATTCTGTAGAAAATTACCTGACATGCTTGACTATTTTACTACATGGAAAGATTCACGGCTCTGATACTAAGCTTGAATGCTAATTAATTATAGATAATTATAAGTTAAACAAATAAACTCAAGGTTCCATAAAAAAATGCAGGAGATGTGCACTTATAGTAAGCTGCATGGCTTAGCTGTGAATCATATTTGCATATCATAATAATGCATGATCTGAAAATAGACTTCATTTTTACAGGGAGGATGGCAGGAGGGGAAGCATGTGGGTGTGTTTAGGTTCATGTTCAGGCAGATGAGATTACAAATGAGCTAAGAAATCAGGAGACAAAGTCTAACGTTTAGAAATCAAGAGGCATCAATATGTGCATCCTCTCTGCACTCTGCCCGTCTTGCGGAGGCCCACACATTGAAAAGCAGGAGAAAGAGTCAAAGCAGCTGCCTCTAGAAAACAAGACTCAAAAGTGGACAGAAGACTAATTTCTAAATAGTGTAGCACTATGTTACATTTTCAATTTTTATTCAGATAATTAAATTGTTAACAACTAAGTATTACTGGAGGAAAAACAGAAAAAGTAGGTGCATGGTTTCTAAACAGAAAGTGGACACTAATACAAAATTAATCAATCAGAAAAGGCTTTCTTAGAAACAAATAGAAACTAGAAAACCTTAGTAAATGGAAATAGAAAAGCAGGATATTTCAACCATTTATCTAATTCTAATAAGCATTAGCGGATTCAGCTAGCCCACTGAAGCAAAGAATATCACAAAGTGAATTTTGATAATCTGACACTCCATTATTTTAATATATGTTAAAATAATGCACCACAGAAAGTTTCAAAATAAAAAAAAATGAAATGGTATTCAGGCAAATGCAGAAAAAATGAAAGATAATGCCATATCTTCAGTAGCAAGCAAGATATTATTCAAATGGAAAATCACTAAGGGACTTATAATATTGATAAACTAAGTGACTCACTGGAACATATTCCATTCATGACTTTATAATGTCCTAATAGCATAGCTTTAAAGTATAATATGATAGAAAATGAGAAAACTATCAGGAGAAACTGGCAATCAGCCAATCACAGCAGAAGACAACACTACATCTCTTCAGAAATTGAATGACCAAATTGTCAGTGGGTTCACAGGATTTAAAGGATTTCAGTGACAACTAATAAGCCTTATTTACAATGCTTGAAGGCCCCAATATTGCTTCAACACTGATACTGTATATTCCCAGACTGCAATGCAATAAAATGGGAAATGAGACAAGGGGAAAACACAGCCAAGCCCACCCCTGTAACCTTTCCACTTGGGTAGACTTTGTCTAACAGACACTTCTGTCACACTTACTGATAGTATAGGTTGCTCTCAGTACTCTCAGTATATGCATTTACAGTCTTTATTGTAATTGCTTGAAGTATGTACTGTTTTCCCTCACATTTTATAAATAATGAAATTAAGACACAGGGAAATTAGATAACTTCTTCAAAGTTATACAGCTAGAGGCAGAGCAGAACACAAGCCTGGGGATCATAAATTCAGACTCTGAACTTTTGATAGCTTTCCTTGCATTTCTTTAGAGGTGAGGGTAGGAGTGGAAGCCAGAGGATACCCCGTGAGAACCAATTGTCTTCTTCTACAACATGGGCCCCAGAGATAAGACTCAGGTGATGAAGCTTGTTAGCTAAAACTTCACCTGCTGAGTCATGCCTCTCTGACCCTGAGCTCTTGATTTCTTGGTAGGCTTTTTCTCTCAACATAAATAAATTGTTAGTAAAACAAGGACTGAGAACTAAAAACAGATAAGCCTAGACCTTAAAGTCCTCTATATTAAAACTAATGTGACACACCAAATGCTTGCAAAAATATGTGGGTTAATTGTAAGAATCAAAAGAAAAATTTAGAAGAATAGTAAACCAAGAGAAAGTAGAAGCCAAAGGGTGAAATGAAAATTAGCTTTAAAAATAAAATAAGTCTTAAACAACAAAGGTTTTTGTGGTTTTAGGTTTTTGCTTTTGAAGTTTGAATCTCTGAAAAAAATGAGTTTTAATATGAAAGCTTAAACAATATTAACTAGAAAAATTAGAATGACAAAATAAGGAAGGTAGGAGAAGTGGGTACAGAGAATGATACAGATAAGCCATGTACTTATAAAATTATCTCTTGAGCAACTTGATATTGAATCAAATTTGAAAAAAAAAGATGGAATGGCATAGTCAAAATGTGTGTGCATGTGTATATATATATAACAATATTTTTATTTATGGCTTTGTACATATAATTACATGTTAAGAAATACATTCATATACTTTTTAGTATGTCTATACCTATATATTAATACATTCACATATATAATACATATCTATGTATAGAATCATAATGAAACCAATAATACACAGAAAATGTACTGCAATTATCCCTCCAATGGGAGTGATAATAGTGAAAAAGATATCAAGTTCAAAATTTAAAAGGTTGTGAAATTTCCCCAATACTTAAAAAAAGCTGCTAATTGCAAACATTGGCTACCAAAAATAGATAAAACAGGAAGACATAATTATCAGCCAATACATCCTCCTGAATATTAACCTTCATCAGGCGATGAAAGGAGACAGAGACAGAGACCCACATTGGAGCACCGGACTGAAATCTCAAGGTCCAAATCAGGAGCAGAAGGAGAGAGAGCACAAGCAAGGAACTCAGGACCGCGAGGGGGGCACCCACACACTGAGACAATGGGGATGTTCTATCAGGAACTCACAAAGGCCAGCTGGCCTGGGTCTGAAAAAGCATGGGATAAAACCAGACTCTCTGAACATGGCGAATAATGAGGACTACTGAGACCTCAAGAACAATGGCAATGGGTTTTGATCCTACTGCACGTACTGGCTTTGTGGGAGCCTAGGCAGTTTGGATGCTCACCTTACTAGACCTGGATGGAGGTGGGTGGTCCTTGGACTTCCCACAGGGCAGGGAACCCTAATTGCTCTTTGGGCTGATGAGGGAGGGGGACTTGACTGGGGGAGAGGGAGGGAAATGGGAGGCGGTGGCGGGGAGGAGGCAGAAATCTTTAATAAATAAATAAATAACAAAAAAATCAGCCAATAATGAGTATAGAGAAAAGTAACAAATTGAGTTCAACTATGTATAAATGAGCAACTAGGGTCTGTCTTAAAACATAGGAATGTACCCACATTCAAAAAAATAATGTAATTCACCACTTA